AGTCTTTTTCTCACCTAAGAACATGAAAAAAAATCACTAATTTCCCCTCAAACACATATGTTCACTTTCTCCTGAAAGATCAGGTGAAATACTTCTATCCAGAGTGAGTCCTCTTTGGATTTGTGATTTAAAGATGTAGATTTTACTTGTTTTGTGCCTTGTACACATTTGTGGACAAAGTATTAAAATCAGTTTAGGGCTAGTGAGAGTGAATAATTACTGGATAAAACTCATTTATAGATCAGTCAGAAGAAAGAAAAATACACGGTGAAGGGAAATTGTGGAATTTTAGGTTTCAAAAGGACTAGATTTACACTACAATCCTCAGATATCAGGACGTTAATAAATTTTAATACACAGACCCATCATAAATTCAGTCCTGCACACTGCACATGTGCCTGGCACTGCTTTTTTGTGKTCCTTGCTCCTCTTTCCTGCGTCCTCTCATCTCCTCCTGCTCCTCCTGTTTCTCCTCATCTGTCCCTTCTTCCTCCTCTTCACTTCTGACGGGCATCAAACTCCATGACTGACTCTGGCCTTATCAGCTACCAAGAAATAAACAGCAATGATACATGATTTAATAGCACTTTTGCAAAGAATTCAGTGCAAATAGGCCTACAACATAAGGAAAACACACACACACACACACACACACACACACACACACACACACACTGATCAGACTCACTGCAATGTAATTTTCTTGAGCAAAAATAGCTGTATCAATGCAGAAAGATGCTTTCTTTTACAGTAATAAAATTATTTTACAGTGTCTTTTTCTGGTCAGCATGGATTTATTTTAATTTTAGTTGATAAAGCAGATTAAATGTTTATGCAGGTATGAAACGTTCCTGATAGGATGTGTTTAATATTCTGTGAGCCCTGAACACATACAGAAACACATAAACCAGGTCTGGATGGTAGGAACATGGAGACAGTGTTTGCTGACTTGTACTCATGATTTGGTCCCTCCACCACAGAAAATGTCTGTTAAGTACACAGTTGTTACCACTGGCTGCCTGAGTTGCCCCCCACCCCCCAACCCCCGGGCTGCAGGTGCACATCCTGCGTATGTTTAATGTTTGTGCAACCAATGCCAAATCTAAACAGGATCCATGTGTGTCTACTCTTTACCATGAAAGGAAATTCTTGTAGAATTCTTGAATTTTATGTGAAAAGCAGTGGAAGACTTCTGTGAAACTCAAGATCATCTGCTATAGCAAACTGGGAAATGCAAGTTGAGTGTGTACTTAAAGCCTCCATTTAGGTTCAGCAAATTATAGAAAATGAGAAGGGGTTGAAAGACCAACCCTCAATTTCAAGAAGCAGCAGTTTTTGGGTGTTGTTCGTTTTCAATGACAGATTGATGCGTTTCTCATCCCCTTAACCACCACCTGGTTATTTTACTTTATTTATTGTTCTTCGTTTTTTACCTGCAAAATGAGGGGAAAATCTGTGTAATTTATGGAAAATCCATGCAACTTGACATGTATTTTTTTTATTTAAACTCTTTCCAGTCATTTGATTGTGGAGATATTTGCTTATTAAATGGTATTTTATGCTCTTTTTTTCTCCCATAAACTTACCTTGTGGAACATAGTATTCCACTGAAAACTGGGTGGGTTTGTGTTTGTTTAAACATTAACTTGCTGGGATTTGAGGGGAGTTCATTTCATAAYAGGAGTTACAGGAAGCTGATATGAATCCATTCAGACTAAACTCGTTTCAAGAATGGAGGGAATTGCTCTTTATTCAGTCTTGCCATTTTTTTATGTAGTCGCTGACATTTTCTGATATAATAAAACCTTAAAAGGACTCCATCAATGATCCAACTAGCCATTTGTTTGTCACGTTTGAACATGGCAGAAACGAGACTTTGTGGCAGATATATTTCCCTGATGAGTTTATTTATAGTCCTTTCTGGTCTGGGAACGTCTGGTCTGGGAACTCCCTGTGAACTCCCATGTGGTCTAACCAACAGTCTAAGAATGGAAAGGAATGAATAGTGTCTCTATTTTCCTCCTGGGCTGTTTTACTTTTACTTTTCAGTAATACTGCCATCTCTTGTTCTTCATTTCTTATAACTCAGACGTGTCTGCTTGTTCTTTTTTTTCTTTCCCTCCTCAGAGGATTGTGGACCAACAGTCAGTCTGCATCTTCTACTGATTCTTGTGTTGTGCAATGGCATTTTCCAGTTCCTCATACATAGTGTTGGGGTGGTTTTTTATTTGGCTTTGTTCAGATCCTGGACCCTGACCTCAGTTGGCAAYCTTAGTATTTACAAAAACCTTGTTGGTTCATTTGCACGTTACTAGGTAATAGTTAATACACTTTTTTTTTGTCAACTGCTAACCTGCCTTCACACTCAACTAGGGCTGCCACGATTAATCGATTATTCGACGACTAATCGATTATTAAAATAGTCGATGACTAATTTAATAATCGATTAATCGTTTTCTTTTTTTGTTCTTTGTTTTTCTCTCCAAACTGCTTTGACACCTTCCACTGCCACATCTGCCTTTCTGTCCTTGACCCACATGCACAGTAGTGGTAACTGGGGTAGGCCGTGGACGTCACAAGACATCATACAGACAGGCTCTGGTATCATGGCTACCTGGCAATGGAGCTCCAAAGTGTGGGATCATTTTAAGAAAATGAAAGAGAAACCTGTGCAATATCTGCAGAGCAGAACTTGTCTTCCACAGCAATTATTTTTAGTTAGCATATAGCTAAAATCTAAACATGGTTATATAATAGCAGCTGCATTCTGGCGTGATAAGCTGTATGTTTATATTCACTTAACGTATGATCCGATTAGTCGACTAATCGAAAAAATAATCGGTGATTAATCGATYATAAAAATAATCGTTTGTGGCAGCCCTACACTCAACCTGTTTTTCTTATTGCCATAAACCTCTACTAGTGTCTAACCTTTTGACTACTTTATGTCCTGTGATGTCAGAGATGACAAAATGTAGCAATATAGACTAGACTAAAGGGATTTCAAACTGCAGACATGCCAAGATAAGCACTCCAGATTACTGTGGAAATCCCTGAATAAATTTGTCTTACACAAAACAGTCAAGACACAATAAAAACAGACAATAAACAAAGTCTTAAATTCAGCTTGCAGCAGATGTAGAAATCGGATAAATTCCAAACTGGGAACCAGGATTGTAACCCTTTTGTCACCTGTTTAAACATGCCATCCCCTTAATCCTCCTGAATAAATAAAAAACCTGGCTTCATATTCTATGTGAAGCTTATTAGAAGTAGTGAAATTAATTTATGAGTTCATGGTTTTAAAAAGGTTATTGAATAGTAGGGCTGCACCGATTAGTTGAAATAATCGATGACGATTATGTAAATTTGTCTTCGCAGATTTTTTATTATCGTTTCGCTGTATTACATAACCACCCAGTGAATGTTCATGCAATTCCATTTCGGTACCTAAATGCATCATTACGACCGTATAAGAGTGGTGAGTTTTCCATGCTTGTCCTGAACGCAGCATCGCGCAAGAGCGTAATGATGTCAGCAGCCGCTGCTTCAGTTCAGTCTGAAGCTTGAAAACAAGTCTCGCAGCTCCTGGAGTAAAATTTACCGAACAGACCGCCTCTGAATTATCTGCTGGATTAATTATCTTGTGAACACGACGTTTGCTTGCTTAACGTAAATAAAGTACCACCACTTTCTTTATTTCATCCACCATTAAACAGAGACCGGTGTTRGGTCGAGCCACGTTCCCAGTTTCCCCAGTGTCTCAAACAACAGAGGAGCTTSCCGACACACGTCTGACCTAAAGAGCACAAGCAGCCAACAAGTGTTGGACGTGTTCTGGATGTTCAAAATGTAGCTTAAATACCTTTTATTTATTTTAACTGCATCCTCTTTAGCTTATTTGATTTAAACTTATTTGCCTTCCATGGACCTCCATCACACATTTTTCTAGTGGGGAAATGACATCAATAGAAACACGTGGAGCTGGATTTTAATTTGTGTAATAAGACAAAACACTGTTGTTGTTTTCAACAGCTTTCACCTTCAAGAAATAAGTTACACAACTGACGTTACAATACATAGAGTTGGATGTTGTCTTGATATTAGTTCATTTTTATATATTGAGAAATATATTAAATAAAAAATAATAAATGTTTATTATAGTTTTTCCAGAGTGACTTGAATTTTGCATGATTTAGTTCATTTGTTAGATTGTTAACATCTTGTACTATACAGTATTTCTTTTACTTGAATTTTATATGCTTTGGTTGAGATTTTATGTTGATTTTAAATCTTTTAAGCTTCTTTTGTTAAAGAATTGACTCTAGAGTGCATATTTTGTGTTCATGAAAAAACTATTACAGAAAATGTTACAATATTAAAGAACTGTTCTTGTTAATTTGATGAAAACATTTTAAATTTCCAGTGCACTCATGTCAGAATAACTTATAGATTTGTTGTTAGAATAATCGATTAATCGAAAAAATAATCGTTAGATTAATCGATTAGAAAATAATTGTTTGGTACAGCACTATTGAATAGTTATTGAAATTCCAGCGTTTCCAAAAGTCAACAGCAAACTTTTAATGTTGTTGCATAAATTGGTGTGAATGAGTAAAAGCTTCAGGTGATAAGCGGAAAACACTGGGCAGTTAAACGTGTACAACTGCAGGATCCACAGATTAAAACCCTTGTTGTTGTTGACCTCATAACTAAATTAACATCTAATAAAGCCTGGAGTGAAAGTGTTGTCACTGTTCTCTCTGGAGCGAGCCAGAAGTTGAGGAAAAACATGTTGAGTCTGGTCATTTTTATAGAAGTGTTCTGTCAAATAATTATCAGGATTTAGTACGTTATCAGCATTATGTCAGTAATAACTACTGTGTAGCAGAATGTCATTTTAACAAATGCTTTAGAATTGGTATAGCTGTTTTGTTTTGTTGTTGTTCTGTCTTGTATAAAAAAACATAAGTTTAATTTTGAATGTTTGTTTCTGATAGAAATGGACAACCTTTACCACATCTTGTCAGTCCACATGGTGCAATGCTGCAGTTTACAAAGCTGACGACTGATCTAAGCGGCCTCTATCAGTGYGAAGCAACTAATGAACTTGGGAGCAGAAGCGGTTTCCTTTATTTGAACGTGCCTCGAGGTGAGGATTTGACTCTGAAGATTTTCTAATATGCTGTTTATGTATTTTGAACTGAGTTTATTGGCATGAAATGTATCAGATAATGTGATTGTATGTGTGTGTGTTTGATTGTGTCTGTTAGCAAAATATCTCATTAGTCAGTGAATGGATTTTACTGCAACTCAGAATGTAATCACTCTGATTTAACTTTTGGAGTCAGCCTGATTCAAGATGGACACCACAGCTAATCAAACAAAAACAAAAAATCCTATAACAATATTTCTATACCATAATACTTTTTTTTGCAAATATTTTTGGCTTGATAGTATCTCACACAAGACGAAACAAGTGCAAGTTATGGGTGAGTCTTGTTTAAAACTGTAATTCAAGTGATGCATTCCTTCAAGGAACACTGGTTTCATTTTACTACAGTTGTTCTCACAGTTTGATTTGGTTAATTTATTTTTGTTTTTTTACTGATATATTTTGAAATTATGTTAATAGGTTGCATGATTTTTATCTTCCTCATACTTTGTATGGTCATTTTTGTATTTCCCTCAATTAGGACCTTTTTGCATATCAACCTGTTTCCCAGCAGAAAACAGATCTATTTCACTTTTACAAGTATAATTTGTCAGGATTTATAAAACAGCAGTGTTTAAATTTGATATCATTTGAAAAGTTCATTTTTTTCCAAGTAAAAATCCCCTCTGAGGACAGTTATACTCATTGTTAACATGGCTTTTCTTGTTGGATATTTGCAGGCGAACAATTCAGCAACAGAATAGAATTAAATAACACAAAGCAGTGAATAAAAGAGTTACTGTAAGCACCAGTAATCCTGGACATAAAAGTTAAGATTATATGAAAAGCACCACTTGTATTTTTTTATCTCCTAAAAGGTTTAAGATCAAAGTAACACCTGCCGGATTGAAGGAGCCTAGGAAAGGCATTCCCTTTTATTCTGTTCTTTTTAACCCAGTTGAGAATTAAATTTTCTGGATTCAATAACCTGACATTATAGACAGATGTCTCCAATATTTACTGACCAGATTAAATTAAATAACCCTGCAAAATGCTCTCAGAATATCCAGTATCTTGAGGAWTGAAAACAGGTGGAAAATGCACAGTCCAGCTGTTCAGAGGTTTGTATTATAGGTTTGTTTGGTTAGATGATTCAAACTGAACATACCACGGCAACAAGTCAGAAAGACAAAGACATTACTACAAATGTAACTTTTTGAAACATTCTTTCTACAAAATAAACATGTTTTTTTATATAATTCTAAACCAGAGTTGAAATATGTTGAGAAACAAAAAGTAAAATACTAGAACTGGAGCATTATACAAAAAGGCACTCTGCTCTCCTGCAAAATTAGTTTTTAATACAAGGGATTCCACAGGTAGGGTTCCCACAGTCTTAAAAAATGTGGAATTTGTTTTTAGCCTTTTTTTTTCTTTGTAGATCTGAAGAAAAATGTGGGAAAAGAGCATGAGAAAAAATGTCTTCTGTGTTATAAATGTTTGCACCAAGATAGAATGTGCCAAGTGGCGCATGCAGAATAAAAAGACTGCCACATCCAGTCAATTCCTATAATTTTCAGAAAGTTTGTRTGTGTTTATCCTCTCTGTAGCTCTTTGTTAAAAATAGCCCATGAGGCCTCAGCCTTCACACAGAGGCCGCATTGATTTTTTTTTTTTATCAAAGGGTAACAGTTAAAGGTCCAACATAGTCGATCAACAGACTAGTTGACTAACCCAGAGTGGATTTCTCAGGATTAGATGGAGCATAAAAAGGCCTTTAAAAGGGTGTAACCTGAGCTGTTGAAACTAATCATTAACCAAAATGTCTGTTAGATGTTTAAAAGGGAGGGATTTTCTGAATCACTAAACTGAAATGTTKTTTCCTTGTCAACAGACTTGAGTCAAACTGGCAACATATTCTGTCATCTGCACAAAGTAAAAATGGTGTGTGTTTGATCAAATATGCATGTAATGTTCAATCAATCAACAAAAAAAGAATAAAGATCAAACCAAATTAACTATTTAATCATGATAAAATATCTATTGATGTACTCAGAACAAACAGGACTTTATTTTCTTTCTTTTRTTTCTGTCAGTCCAACTGAAAGGACAACTCATGGGAAACTTGGAACATGCTGAAATACAGTATATCTGGTTGTCAGAGCAAAATTTATGTTTGTGGAGATAAATGAGAGGGTTTGACTGGATCTTCAGCAAGTGATTGTCTACCCAAAACAGTAATTCCATCAGGCAGATTAAAGGAAATTAAAGGACCAAACAGACATATTATTTTACAACAAAACCTTGTGCTTTATCAACCACTGTGTTATCTGAACAATATACTGTACTGTATATACTGTAATGTGACACAAAACTAAATCACTTGCTACWAACAAAGCAACTAGACGRCTAATCTGGAGTTTTACTTTCCATCATGGGAGTATTAGYGCTTCAAAACTGGGRAGTGTGACATTCCAAGTTTTATACTGTGTGAGATAATCCATCAGATTATTATCTGTACTCTGTGTCCGTGAACAAAATTTACCCTTACATTATTTGTCATCTTTCTTTCTTCTTTTGCAGGGGACAAAATTGGTTGGATCTTTTTTAGTGTTCTTTTGATCCTGATTGTTGCTGCAACTTGTGCTGTACTGTGCTTAATGAAATACGAGATTATTCCAAGGTCTGGTACAATACCTTTAACATATTTCGCAATACTATTTCTATAAGTTGGATAAAAGAGCCATCCACTAATTGTGTATTTCTAGATATTCATTCCTTCAACGTGATGAGGTGCAGCGGGTCCCAACATCTTCAAATTCACCAGAACCCAAAGCACAGGAGGAGGCGGTGTCGTTAGATCCAGTAACCTAAACCAGACCTGTAAGTGATAATATCAGAATGCTTTGCATATTTTGTCTTTAAAATTGTCCAAGTCTGTGGAACAAAACCTTGTATTAAAGGAGACATATCATGSAAAAATCATATTTTTAGCCAATAATTGCATTTTGTTGTGTACTTGGAGTCTCTAGGAGTATATTCTGTCTGGGTCATATTTTTTAACCCATTCATTTTTTTAAATTTTCTATTATGTTTTCTGAACTTTTACGTCCCAGTATTTGCAATGGAACTGCAAAATAAGGTCTGGTCTTACCAACTACTACAACCCCTGGCAAAAAGTGTGGAATCACTAGTCTTGGATGAGCACACATTCAGACGTTTCATTCTGTAAAACAAACTCAGATCAAAAACATGAAACAACAACAATAAGGTCATTCCAAAGTGCAACTTGTTGGCTTTCAGGAACACTCAAAGA